AACGTTCCTGCCGTTGATCGCGAGTTAAAGTGGACCTCCTCAGCCCGGAGCGAGATCCACCCTGGCCTCGAGCGCAGAGATCACTTGTCCACGAAGGCGAGGGCGCCTGATCGACTGCGCACAAGCTTTGGGCGACGCGGCCGAGCGCGCTGCCGTCGCGACGCTAGACCCCAGCCCTTTCAAGACCCACTGCTGTTTATCGGTGAGTGTGAAGCGCCAAGGTCTTGAGCAGAGTACGCGGCGGAGATGTCGGCCCGTCAGTGTCCCGAAACTTCATTGGCTTGACATTCCACGGCATCGGCCACTTCCGCGCGCTCCTGACGAAGGCGCCGCTGCTGCCCGCACTTACTCGAAGAATATGTCGGTCGCGCGCGGCGGATGTGCAGTCGCTTGCACTTGCCCAGCAGTATTCACCACTGTCTGAAGCTACTGAAGCTACGTATGCCCTAGAGCTCGCGCCTGCGTTATTTCTCTAAACATACCTTTGAGCGCGGCGATGCCCCAGCCTTTCGGCGCGTCTCCTTTGGGGCCCGTGGGCCCTGCGGCTGCAGTTTTCGCCCCCCCTGACCTGCGCCGTTGGGCCCACTTCCCGCGGGTGACCGAGGGGCGTCGCTTGCGCCCAGCTTGGGGGTCTGACGAGGTGGTCCGCGACCTAGCATGCGCCCGACCGGGATTGAGTAACCACGTCGAACATGTCTGGGGGTATGCAGATTCGCTCTTGATGGGTGTTGTGCCAGGCTCGTTTCTCTTTTTTGCTCTGCTAGAATCCAGATTGATCTTGGCACCCTCGATTAGTATTCCTCGGCGGTCAGCCGGCGCCCCGCCTCTGCGCGGAAGATGGCCAGGGCTGCTCGGCGCGCCGGCATGAATCATTTTTTTTTGACAGCGCCCCCTCAGGGGGCCAGGGGGGCCCGGGCCTGGCTCGGGCGCGACCTCGGAGAGACCCCCGGAGTTTTTGGCGACGCCCACGGGCGCTCGACAACTTCCCCGCGACTTGATGGGTTGCAGACAAGAGTTTGGGAGGCAGGTTTGGGGCGCCCCCCCCCGTGGGGATCTGGAAACGCTTTCTGGCGCGTTGGGCGCCCTGCGACCTGTTGCTGCTGCCGCGGCCGAGCAGCTTGAGGCGTTGGAAGTCATGGACATCCAGCGCGATGCCAGGTGTTTCTCTCCTTCTACCTCGTTCGGGGTTGACCGCCGGCACCCCGGGGTCTCGCGGGCGTCCGACTCGAGGCATTCAAGGGGCGCGCTACTCTCCCATGTCAGAGCGAGCAACAAACCGCGTGGCCATTGCGGGCCCTGCTGGGCATTGACGCTCCTCTGCTCAGGAGTTATGACTGCGACCGCCCCGTCCGTGAAACCACCGCTACTTCTCGTCTGCAGTGCAACCGCCTCGTCGACGAATGGGCCCAAGCGCGCCAATTTCTGGGGCGCGGCCGCGAGCGGGCCTAGTGCCTTCCAGGAGGCTCTTTCGCACGCAGTCGGCCACGCGGTCGCCGGGCTCCATGGGGCGCGCTCTGCCCGGGCCCATCGGGGCCTGCAGAATTTCGTTGATGTTGAATATCCATATCGCCTGCTTGAACTTGCCACTCGCACGCAGCACCCCCTGAATTTATTGTGCCCCTGAACTCATCGTGCCTCACGGGTGCCTGGCGTTGGAGGGTTCGTCTCGGATGTCAGAAAACTTGGCGCGAGCATCTGGTTTCTATCTGCACGCAGTCGATGAGGTGGGTCCAGAGTTATGTCCACGAGCTGTTTGATACGGCACGCGCGCAGCATTGGGCCCGTCGCTATCAGAGGATTTGCAAATGAGATCACCCAATCACAGACATTACCACGGACATTGTTCCTGCGGCTACGTGCGCCACGCACCGACGCGATCAATTTGTCGGTGATTTGTTGTGGAGAACGTCGCCTTGACACGCGCGGCCTCGGTGCTTGGATGCGTTTCGACCTACCGCTATCAAGCTGCGCGCTGGCCCATCGCGCCGGCAGAGTCCACGAGAGATGTGGGGGCCATCGCGACGGCGCGAACAGAGTGACGGACCCGCGAGCGCAGGCAGCGTCGGCCCCGGGCCCCCAAGAAGGCCAAGAAGGTTGATCTTCTCAACGAGAGCGTTGGCAGAGCTCGGAAGCTCCACGCGCCGGGGGGCCCCGGGGCCACGGGGCGCTTGGTCTGACGGGGGGCCAAATCCGCTCCATGACGGCCCGGGCGACCACTTGCACTGCTTGGCGGGCCCCCGGGACCTGCGCGACCTCGGTGCTTCCTCTGGTCAGTGCTGCCGAAGGTGGCCCTCAGTTTAGGCGTCGCTGTCGCCCGCCGTTTCGGAAGTCCGGGTTGGCCTCGACTACGTCGCCAATGCTCACCAGCAGGTGGTTTGCATTTTCATGCGCGCCAAACCTAGATAGCTGCGGTATCAGTACTACATGGGCGTTAAGCCCGTGCCATTTTTTGGGGGGGGGGCATGAGATCTCCCGGCGGCGCTGAGCTCCGCCCCACTGAATACAGGCCCCCCCGTCACCTGCTGTAGCTGCTGCAGATGGTTTGCGGCCAACTGTCTCTGTCGGGTGCTACGCGGCATTGCTGTGAATTTGAAGCCGCTGGCGCGGTTGGGAACCGTGGGGCCGCTGGCTTCTGGGCCGAGGGCCGACTGCCAGGGGCCGGCGCCCTGAATGTAGATCGGCCAGCGAAGCTGTGATCCATCGCCGTTGGCAATGTCCGCGCGATCTCGGGCCCCTCGCTTTTGCGATCGAGAGATCGCGACTATTAGCTGCTGAGGCTGTCGCTCAGCCCGAACTCGCCTGTCGCTGGGTTCGCGGCCTGCGCTCGCGGCCGCCCCCTTGCTCCACTGGAGCTTGGGCGGGGGCGGGGGCGGCTGAGGGGCGGGGCCGGGGCCCATGGGGGCGGGTCGGGGGGAAACGCCACAATGACTGGCGTTCGAGGCGCTTCGGGTGATCCACTGTGGCGCTGACGGACCCTTCGATGGAGTTGCCTGCGGCGCACTGCCAACCGAGGCGCAGTCTGCTGGCCGCGCTGAATTATTTAAGTTGGTTAAGCCGGCTGAATGGTCGACTGGACATATCCGAGCGCACCGCGACAATGCGGGCGTCGTCAGACGGTCCGGGAAGAGGCTTTCCATTGAGAACAAATCGGCCACGCTTGACCCCTTAGGCGTCATATCATGGTGCGCGGAGGACCTGAGGGGGCCCGATAACTGCTCGGTGGACCAGGGGGCACCCCGCGCAGGCCCAGCGTCAGAACATGTGTATTTCGGATTCTGGGCTAGATTTAGACAGTTCGGCCGATTCGCGGGGCACTCGATGCAGATGAAAAAAGCCCGCAACACCTGTCGCAGGTCGTTGGCCATCCAACGTGAGGTCGTTTTCGCTTCTCAGAGGGGGAACGTTGCTCGGAAGCAGTCTGAGCGTCGTCGGTCCCAGTGTGCCTTGTCTCTGACGGTGTGTAGACACCGTGCAATCACTTGTGAGGTTCGTACGTCTGTATTCATATGTCCCGTGTGCCATGTGTCTTTTAAATGAAAGGTCGGCCAAATGAGTTCTTGCTTAGACAATGCCAGCCCCGTGCTGAGATTGACCAACGCGTTCAGGCTTCGGCGCCGCGCGAGGTCATTGGACGTCACGACCCAAATCCTGTACCAGATGACCCAGGCCCACCGCTGTTGTTGGTGAGGTTGGGAATCAATTCGATCACCCTTGTGCTGAATATTTGCACCTCTCCCAACATTTGCCTGTGTTGTGGGGGGTCTGTTTTGCTAGGTCAGCGGGCGCCGTGGTGCCGCCGTCCCCCGAGACCTGCGCTCGGAGTGTGCCACCCCCCCTCAATCAGAGAAAGTCGCTTTGTCACGGTTTTGTCAGGGGCCTCCCGCCGCCGAAGCCGTCAGGCAAATTCCCAGACGTGCGATTGTGTTTTAGCGCGCCCCGCCTTGCAGCGGGCCCTCTACGCACATAGGTATAATATAATAGAATATACCCCCTTTGCGGACATGTCTGGGGGGAAGTACACCTAAGAAGGAACAAGGAGTGGAAGATATGTACAAACAGAAACAGTAGGAGGAGGAGGAGGAAGAGAGGAGGAGGAAACGAACAGGAGGCGGAGGAGGGGAAGGGGCATGATGGATGGAGCTTCCTCCGCTCGATCCAGCCCTTGCGTCAGGCCCTCTTGTGGGCTCACTCTGGGACTTGCGTCTCGGCCGAGAGGTCAGACCTGAACTTGCATCTCCTGCGGGGGGACGCGAAGGACTGGGTGCTTCCAACTAAGATAGAGCAGGCACGCCGACACTGGCCAGGGCCATCTTGGACCCACCATCGGCGTACGCGCCCTTCCCGCCAAGCTAGGGAGGCCTAGACACCGATCCTGGGCCCACGATGGGCTCTCCTGGAGATCTCCGGAGATCCCCGGACGTCGTCAGAATGCTCTAGAGTGTAAGCACCCCAGAGGTTTCCAGAAGTTTTTCCAGTTCTCGGGCGTTTTTTCTTTTCCACCCGTGGGCCACTCGCGGCGACCACACTCTTCTGTGGGCTGGTTTTCCATGTCGGGTTGTTTTTCGCTGTCCCGTGGTCATGTTGGGGCCGAGACATCTGGCGATCGCAAATAGTGAGATATATTTCTGTCCGAGATTTGGATTCGGAGGTCGACTGATGGCCATGGACGGGCCCGGCCGTGGCCGGCGATGGTGCTTCCCAGGGGCGTCGGCGATCGACACATCATCCGTAAATATCCATGTTGCAGCCCCCTACTGGGGGCAAGGGGGATGAGGATCTGGCTACAACACTCGGCCTGCCAGAGACAAAGTTTTTCCCATGCTCCTACTCCGACCCCCTGTGGCATTCGGGGCATGGTGTAAGCAAAAGTTCGTGCCGCGTGGACGTGGCTACGACGCCAGGGCCAGCGTTCAAGCCCGAACGCCGCCAGTGCCCTCCAGTCGGCCGACATCGAAGGGCCTGCGGTGTGAGAAGGCCGCGACCGTTCAAGGCCGATCGGCATGCTCGGTGGCAGAAGCCAGCGCCGACGACGCCACGGCAAGAGCCAGCCGCACGGACGAAGAACGTCGATCGCCCGGAGGAGGGGCGCCGCTCGGCGGCGGCCGCGCCGTGGCTCCGTGCGCTGGTCGGGGACCGCGCGGCGTCCTCGCAGAGCGACGGCTCGGCGGTGACCCTCTCGGGGGATGCCAGCCGACCGCCTGGCCGGCCCTGGCCGAACCCAGGGCCGGCGTCTTGCGCCTCCCCGGCCAGGCCAGGAGGGCTCATGCGCCGACCGTGTGCCCACGATGGGCTCTCCTGGAGGTCTCCAGGGGCCGCAAGACGTTTCCGGAGGGCTCTGGAGTTGGAGGCCCCAAGAGGCTACCAAAGATTTTCCCGGGCCCTTGTGTGGTCCTTCATGGGAGCCTCAGCGGGGTCCAAAATTCCTTGCGGCTTGGGGGGGGGGTTCGGATGATGTGCTTCAACCCGTGGGCCGCTGAGCTCTCGACCCCTTCCCCGCAAGCCCGTCTTTCATGCTGAAGGACCTCTGATGGTCCCTGGGGCGGGAAACGGCCCCCAGGGGCGACACTGAGGACAACCGCCCCCGAGTCCAGGATCGGCCTGGCCAGGGTCGGTGATGTGGTCGGTTGCCGTCCCCCGAGCCCTCCACGTCTACGACATCGGCACCCTCGGCCTGTCGTCGGCGGTGAACTGCATGCTGCGACCGCTGGGCATGGGCGCTTTCCACTGCGGGGTGGAGGCGCGGGCACATGCCCTGCTCCCCTCCCTCCTCCCCTCGTCCCTCCCTCCCTCCTCCTCGCCAGCAGATGAACAAAATGTATTGCGCACCCGTAGCTCCTGGTTGCACTGGGACGCGCGCGGTTCCCTTTGCAGTCGGCGCGCCTTTTCTTGCACACGCGGGAGGGGGTCTCCCTCGTCCTGTGTCGCTCCTTGGGCAGCCCGATTCTGCCGTTGTTGCGCCGACCGTCTTGTCCACAAAGTTGGGTTCAATTCGTGTGAATGGGTCCCGTTCACGCTGACTCGCGATGATGGTGCCAAATCGCCCGATGAGGGACAATTGTAGCTGCATAACAGCCCCTCTTATAGCAGTGGCTCGTGCACTGAAGAAAATATCCCCGCCAGGTGTATCAGTGGGAATGGAGCTACGCCGACACGGGCGAGGATTCTGCGCCCGAGCAGACGGGGGTGTTTTGCTGTCCGCCCCGCGGCTGTGGAGGCTGCCGCATTCGTCGCCGTCGTCGTCGTCGTCGGCGTCGCAATCGTCGTCATCTTTGTCGTTCTCGTCGTTGCCACCACCGCCGTCGTCGTGTCCACGAGGAGGAGGAAGATATAGAAAGACGAGGAAGAGGAGCACGAGGAGGCGGAGGACGACGAGGAGCACGAGGAGGAGGAGGTGGAGGAGGCGGAGGAGGAGGCCAGCACCGGCAGATTCCAATGCGTCGAGCAAAACCTCCCCACGACAGAGGAGGGAGCCGGCCCGCGGCGCGGCCGAGGCCATACGTACTGCACCTCGCAGGAGCTGGGGCGCTGCGCGAAGAGCAGGGGCGAGGTGCTGGCATTGTGGGGCCTCCGGCGCACATGCCAGTTTGGCGGGTCGTCACCGTCGTCAAAGTCCCCGTCGTCGTCGAAGTCGTAGTCGTCGTAATCGTAATCGTCGTCCTCTTCGCCGTCGTCCTCGTCGTCTTGGGCCTCCCCGGGAAGTGCGGAGGGGGAGGGGGGCCGCCAGACTGGAGGGTGCGGCGGTGGCATCCCGTCCGTGCATTTCGGTGCTGGAGAAGAGCTGGGCAGGCTATCTCGGAGGGCAGCCCTTTGGCCCCCGCTGCCCCGCCGCATTGAGCGGACGCCACTGGCAGCAGGCCAGAGCGCTGGAGTGAGATCCAGAGCGCCGGAGAGAGGTCCGCTCCGGCCTCGGAAGGGGCTCGGGGCTCCTCGGGATGGGTACGGCAGTAATGGGTACGAAGATCGACAGCAGGTTCCTGTTCATTTTGAACAGTTCCTGTCACGCGGATTGCTCATCTGAGACGGACAGCCGGTTCAGCGGCCACTGTCGGTTTTGAGCCACCTTTGTTGTAGGGCATCGTTCCTGTGTTTGCCGTACCCGTTCCGGGCGTCCAAATCCTCGGGTTCTCTCTTCGGACGTTCTTCGCGGGTCCAGGCGCACACGGTGCCGGGCGCACACGGTGCCGAAAGTCTTCTTACGGCATGCGGCCGGCTCCGATGGCGGCCAGGCACCATCTTGGGCCCCTGGCCGCGTCTGGCCAGGATCGGCGTAGGCTGAAAGTCGTGCACGACCATGCCGTGCCAAGTTGTACCAAGGGCGCTCCAGCAGACGGCTTCGTTGGTCCCCCAAATCTCAGGATGCAATTCTGGGGAGCTTGCACTCAACATCGGCGCTATTGTTTCTGTCTTCGAAAACCAGCCTAATCCGACATAGTCTGGCTTCACTCCCGCTTAATCTTGTTGAGTCCAGCGTAATGCCCGGCCGAATTTGGCCTAATTCGGCGTATTGGCCTTTCGATCGGGCGCACTGGCCTTTAATAGTGCTCACGAAGATCTTCCAGGCGGGGGTCACCTTTTGCCATCCGGCCATCGGTACGACGTACTCACAAAGAACTGCGGGCACTTCTGCGACGCCTTCTGCCGCACGCTCGGCGTGCGACCCGTGCCGGCCTGGGTCACTAGGCGTTCGGTCGCGGGGTAACGGCAATGGTGTTGACCGTACCAGTTTGCGATGGCCATGGCGTTGGCGACAACAACGGCGACAGTGGCGGCGGATGCGGCAGCGGTAAGGACGATGCCAACGATTGCAGCCAGTTCAGACTTGGGTCACCAGGCTGTCGGTCGTTGGGTGATGATCATGATGTCGATCATGACAGCGTCCGATGGCCACGACGTTGACGATGACTCTAAAATTCGAGGGACAAAGAACTGCATAAATCAGAGTGAGGGGGCCGAACGATCATCCACTGTCCCTAGGCGCGTGGCTGAAGTGAGGTTCTGCGGTGCGGAATGTTGTTGCTGTTGATGTTGTTGCTGTTTTTGTGGTTATTGCTGCTGTTGTTGTTGCCGTTGCTGTTGCTGCTGTTGTGATTGTTGTTGTTATGGCTGTTAATGTTGTTGTTGTTGTTGAATATTATTACTTCTAAAGAATAATTATTGTTGGGCCCCCTGGTGCACGCCCCCCTCGCCGCGCCTAGGCCGCAGCCACATTTTCATCATTTTCGTGAGGAAGTCTCAGGCAAAACGGGGGAGTCCGGATCCGGTTGTTTTGTTGACGCCCGCTTTCCCTGTCAAAAAACAATATAAAATGACATGTCTTGTTCTAACATAACCAAACTTCAAGAATCCTTTGCAAAAAACGACACGAAGTGCACACTCGCGCGCGCAAGATGAAATCCTTCCAAAACCTTAGTTTTCGTAGCGATTTTAACATAAAAACATGAAAAACCCAATGGTTTTTCAAAACAAAAGTTTCAAAACATCATCCCGCGCGCTCTTGCGGATTCGTAGGAAACCCAACACTTTTTAAACATTTCTGTCAAACGGGCTTTTGCGAGCAACTTTTTCAAACTTCTGCAACAACGGTTGCGCACCTGCCAGGGCCATCATCCCTGTCAAATAATACCATGCGGGACACATTCGTTTTTTCTTCGCGCGCGCACGCCGTCGTCGTCGGCCGCGGGGCCCTGAATAGTAGCCACGGTCGTCCGCATGCCACGAAGTGAAGTGTCCGAACGTCATAGGGCGGGAAGCTGGGTGTGGGTGGTGGCGAAGAGTCGTTTGGAAATTTGGTAGAGCTTGAACCGGCCCCCCCACAAAGTGGGGGTATTGCCCGCCTCCTATGAAAACCCTGGCACTGGTGAGAACGGAGTGTCCCCACGTGCTAGTAATTGTTGTTGTTGTTGTTGTTGTTGTTGTTGTTGTTGTTGTTGTTGTTGTTGTTGTTGTTGTTGTTGTTTACATATTTTTCTTTCGAAAATGCTGAATTTCTGCTTCCGGCGCCCAGGAGGCCGGCTCCCGGGCCGGACGCCCGGGCAGTTCCGATCGCGCCGAAAAGAGGCCATTCCAATACACATTTTTCTTTCGAAAATGCTGAATTTCTGCTTGCGGCGCCCGGGAAGCCGTCCTGGGCCGATTCTGGAGCGGCTTTGGGCCGGACGCCCGAGCCGGCGCCCGTACGTGGTGCATGCTTCTCTGCTTCTGGCGCCTGCGCAGCTTCCCGAGCCGCTTCTGGAACCATATCTGGGCCGGTCCAACGATAGGTTTCCTGGATGTGCTGAACCATCCAACTTTTTGAGACTTCTGCGTCTCAAGGATAGGGAGAGAAGACATTGAAGGAGGATCAAAAAGCAACGTCGCTATGAACGCCTGGCTGCCACAAGCCAGTTCTACTTACTTGGACTACTACTACCGTTACCACTACTACTAGTGCTACAGCCGCAACAGCAATATCATCAACTGCTGCTACTACAACTACTCATCCTTCCTCCCCCTCCTCCCCCTCCCTTCTCCTCCTCCCCCTCCCTATCTCTCTCATCTCCCCCTCCTCTTCCTCTTCCTCTCCCTCTGAGATGCGGGGCATGCGCAAGGCGATTGCGAAGGCGATGTGCCGTCCGAGCTATGGATGTTGAAGTTCCTCGGAAGAGGTGGTGGCCAAACCTTCTTGGGCGGGATATCTGGGTGAGGGAATATCGGATCCCGCATGCCAGAAAAATCCCCCATGATGGGGTGTGTTATCCAGATGGATGCATGTGTCATGTGGAAGCATGGCTCATGAGGGTAAAATGATTGTTGTTGTTGTTGTTGTTGCTGTTGCTGTTGCTGTTTTTGTTGAACATTATTACTTCTAAAGAATAATTATTGTTGGGGCCCCTGGTGCACGGCCCCCTCGCCGCGCCTAGGCCGCAGCCACGTTTTCATCATTTTCGCGAGGAAGTCTCCGGCAAAACGGGTTGGTCCGGATCCGGTTGTTTTGTTACGGGCGGTTTTCCCTTGCAAAAAATAAGGCAAAGTGGACATTTCTTGTTCTAACATAACCAAACTTCAAGAATCCCTTGCAAAAAATAAGGTAAAGTGGACATTCGCGCGCGCAAGACGAAATCCTTCCAAAACCTTAGTGTTCGTAGCGATTTTAACATAAAAACATCAAAAAACCAATGTTTTTTTTCAAAAAAAGTGTCAAAATTTCATCCCGCGCGCTCTTGCGGATTTGTAGGAAACCCAACACTTTTTAAACATTTCTGTCAAACGGGCTTTTGCGAGCAACTTTTTCACGTGCTTCGAACTTCTCCAACAACGGTTGCGCACCTGCCAGGGCCATCATCCCTGTCAAATAATACCATGCGGGACACATTCGTTTTTTCTTCGCGCGCGCACGCCGAAATCTTCAAAAACCATTGTGTTTCTTAGCAATTTTAGCACCGCGCAACATAACATCATACGAATCGCACCGTAGGTCCTCGAAACACATCTGTACGATTTTCAAAATTTCTACCCGCGCGCGCTGTCCGAATCCTAAAAAACCAATGGCTTTTCAACATTTATGTTACATGAGCTCGCGCGAGCTACTTTCGCAAGCTCTTTTGTCCACTGTTGGAACTGGGGGAAAAGTCGTATACTAAGCTAGCGTCCAGAAAATGTTACCACAACAAGTCACTGTACCCATGCGCCAGTGTAGTAGCCACGGTCGTCCGCAGGCCACGAAGTGAAGTGTCCGAACGTCATAGGGCGGGAAGCTGGGTGTGGGTGGTGGCGAAGAGTCGTTTGGAAATGTGGTAGAGCTTGAACCGGCCCCCCCACAAAGTGGGGGTATTGGCGGGCGTCGTATGAAAACCCTGGCACTGGTGAGAACGGAGTGTCCCCACGTGCTAGTAATTATTGTTGTTGTTGTTGTTGTTGTTGTTGTTGTTGTTGTTGTTGTTGTTGTTATTGAGTTCTCATTTCTGAAGAATCATTATTGTTGACCCCCCCCACCGGTGCATACTGTTTGTTCTCAATCAAAGTGCGCCCCTCGACGCTCGCACCCTGTTTTTTGACATGTGAAGTCTTGTTGCTCAAACTGTGCCCCTGGCCCCCGGGTTACAACAACAACGGCTCCCGCTTGAGATTTCCTCACAATTTAGCCAGGACCCCCGCTCCCGCCAAAGACTTCCTTGCATACTCAGTAATAGCGCTCTCGCTAGAGACTTCCTCAGGATTTATTGGAGAGGCCTGACGGTCTCCGCCCTCGTTCCCGCCCTCGTTCTCGCCTTCGTTCTCGCCCTCGTTTTCGCCTTCGCGCCCGCTGTCGCTCCCGCCCTCGTTCCCGCCCTCATTCTCGCCTTCGTTCTCGCCTCGTTCCCGCCTTCGTTCTCGCCATCGTTCTCTCCCTCGCTCCCGCCCTCGTTCCTGCCTTCGTTCCCGCCCTCGTTCTCGCCCTCGTTCCCGCCTTCGTCTCCGCCCTCGTCCCCGCCTTTGTTCTCGCCTTCATTCCCGCCCCCGTTCCCGTCCTCATTTTCGCCTTCGTTCCCGTCCTCGTTCTCGCCCGTCGCCCCCGCCAACGTTCCCGCCCCGGTTCCCGCCCACGCCTCCGCCTTTTTTCTCGCGATCGTTCCTGCCCTTGCGTCTTGTCCCCGCCTTCGTTCTGGCCCTCGCTCCCGCCCTCGTTCCTTCCCTTTTCGCTCCCTCTCTGGGCCCTCTTGTTCGGTCCTCCGACCTCGTGCCCGCCCTCGCGCCCGCTCTCGCCCCCGCCATCGTTTCCCTTTCCCTCCTCCGTCTCATTCTCGGCCCCTCTGATCTGCGTCTTTTCCACCCTCCTCGGCGCCGCCCTTCCCAATCTTTTCGCTCGCCGCCCCTCTCCTCCTCCCCGTCCTCCTCCTTCCCCCTCCTCTTCCTCCTCCTCCTCCTCCTCCTCCTCCTCCTCCACCTCCTCCTTCTCCTCCTCTTCCTCCTCCTCCTCCCCCCCCCCGCGCCCCCCCCCGCCCCGCTTGGATTTCCGAGCCCCCTCTTGCTTTCGCAGGGCGTCGTCGCCGCAAGAAGGCGCGCGCCGCCGACGGATGCCCTGTCCATCCTGGGCCTTCATTTCTGGCCCGAGGCCGAAGAAGGAGCAAGAAGAAGAGGAGGAGGAGGAGGAAGAGGTGGCGTCGGCGGGAGCCCCCCCCGTGTAGAAGGCCCCAGAGCCGGCCCGAGAGTTCACGCAGCGTCGCGCGGTGGGCCCCCTGGAGGAGCGCCGGGGGCAATTCAAAGAAACCCGGGAAGCCGAGAACATCGCTCCGAACCGCCCCGGCGGCCACTGCGAAAATTTGGTCGGCCCCCGAGGCAGAGGAGGCATTTCAGAGGGGCCCGAGGGCCTTCCACCCAAAGATGAGCCCCGAGACTGAGAGCAATCACCCAAGCTCCCTTCCAACAACCGCCAAGAGCCGAAAAAAACTCCGGGCGCCCCCCGAAACAAAATCCTGATGCCCGCGAAGAGCCCCCCCCCAAAACAAAAAGAACCACGGAGCCTCGCAGTTATGCATGTACGTACGTATATATGTATGTACGTATGTATACATATACATATACATATGTACATTATATGTATATATATACGCACTTACACACATATGTATATTTCTACACACATAGATGTATACAAATATAGATACATACATTTATATACGCGCACATATACGTAAACATATACAGATACACATACATGTACA